AGAAGAAGAAGAAGAAGAAGAAGAAGAAGAAGAAGAAGAAGAAGAAGAAGAAGAAGAAGAAGAAGAAGAAGAAGAAGAAGAAGAAGAAGAAACATTTATATGGTGCTTACTATGGGCTAAACACTTTACAAATATTATCTCAGTTGATCCTCAAAAAACAGCGCTGGAGGGGCAGCTAGGTGGCAAAGTGGATAGAGCACCGGCCCTGGAGTCAGGAGGACCTGTGTTCAAATCCAACCTCAGACACATAACACTTACTAGCTGTGACCCTGGGCAGGTCACTTAACCCCACTGCCTAACAAAAAGAAGAAGAAGAAAGCAAAAAACAACCCTGGAGGTAGATGTTACAAATGAAGTTACTACAGAGGCATTACTGTCTTTACTACATCCCAAACCAAACTAAAATCAGGCCAGTTACAACAGCACGCTGTTCTAGAACAGGGTCAGCAACAAGTATTTAAGTGCTTACTGTATACCAGGTACTGTGCCAATATTTTGAAAGATATACACATATCATGCATCCAATTATCCAAAATCTAAACTTATTACTGACTTTATATTTGAGAATCTAATAGAAACTGCTGTGACCAAAACTTGGAAAATGAATAGCATGTGCAAGAAGTATCCCGGGAAATTCCCTAGAATTCCTTGCTCAGAGTCCTAAGGTCATCTATGCATCATTCATTTAATCCACTTCCCCTCAGTCATCCCTGGTGCTATGAAAGATAGAGAAACTACAAGGCACAGTTCCTGTCTTCATCATCTCCTAAGAACGAAAAGGTATATATGTATAAGTGCCAAAGGGTAGACGAAAACTAATCCTAGGGTTCTCCTTGCCTCTGGGATAAAATACAAAATCTTCAGTCTGTCATTTAAAAGCCTACACAACCTGGCTCACCTCTTTTTGCAGTATTATTTCATATTATTTCCCTTCACATTCATACTCTTTTGTCAGTCAAATTTAGCCTTCTGCTCTTATGCATCTCTGTATTTCCTGCCTCTGTGACTTTACAAGGAATGGTCACCCATGTCTGAATTGTACTATCATGCTTCTGTTTTGGTGTTCTCAGCATCTAGTACAGTGTCTCACACACAGTAGGTGTGTGACCCTAAAATTATGGTGTTGTTTTTTTTAAAGTGACTAAAGAGTTCATAACCTTTATGACTCAGAGATGTTATCGCTAGGTATAAATCCCAGAAATATTAAAGACAATAAATATCAAAATATACACTAATATATACCAAAATATTCTTGTTTTTTAGACAATTGGGGTTAAGTGACTTGCCCAAGGTCACACAGCTACTACGTGTCAAGTGTTTGGTCTGAGACCATATTTGAACTCAGGTCCTCCTGACTTCAGGACCCATGCTCTATCCACTGCGCCACCTAGCTGCCCCCAAAATATTCTTAATAACATTTAATTATGATGGCAAAGTACTTGGTTGATTGGTTGTTGTCCTCCATTCTTAAAGAGGTCCAAAATGACATCACTATGTTTGGGTCAAGGTATAGTGGGTCTGACTGTGACTGATCAAACCAAAAAGTATCAGAAGACTTACATAAAGTGATTCAGAGTGCAAATAGACTGTGAAAACTAGATAATTACAAAGCTGTATCTTTGTCTCTTTTTATATATATACATATGTGTGTATGTTTAAATACATAACTATCATATATAAATGTTAATATATAATGTTTTTATGTATGTTATGTGTACTTATATATACAAATGTGTTATATACGGTTTTTAGGGTTTTTGTTTCCATTCTTGTAGCTGTTGTGTATGTATAATGACAACAACATCACACACACATAAAATGTATACATAGACATTACATATAACTATATATAATATAACATTATATATACATATATATACATGACAACAATGTAAACAGAAAGAATGTTTATAAAAAACTTAATGCTGTGTAATTATAATGACCTAGCTTTCTCTGGACAAGAGTTGGGTAAATAACACCTCCCACTCCTTTTTTCAGTGGTAGAGTTGTGGATATGAATATTACACACACTATCAGAGATGGAGCATTAATTGGCTTTTAGGAATTCTTTTTTCCTCTTTTTAAAAAATCTTTGTTACAAGACATGGCTTATTAGATAAAAGAGGAGGAGAAATGTTTTGGAAGTGCAGGTGATATGAAAACACATTATATGAATAAAAATAAGATTAAAAATAAAACAAGAGTTTGTTGAATGAATATTTGCCACACTTTGATAGGAAAGAGCACAGAAATCTCTAGCTTTTGATTCTGTTCTTTCAAAATGAATTTATTAAACAATTGATAGTTTTCAAAACAAAATACAGGAAGGCATTCTGGTGTATTAGAATAAATAATAATAATAGCATTTATGCTGTATAACACTGCAAATTTTTACATATATTATCTCATTAGATCCTTACCATGCCCCTATAAGGTAAATGTTATTATAATCCCCATTTTACAAATGAGAAAACTGAGGCTGAGAAAAGTTAAATGACTAACTCAGGCTCACACAATCAGCAAGTATTTGAAGGAAGATTCAAAGTCAGATCTTCCTATCTCCAACTCCAGCACTCTATCCCCCTTTGCTATCCCCATCTTGGATCTGGACTTAAGAAGGTCCGGATTCAAATTCCTGCTCTAGGTGATCCTGGGCAAGTCACTTAAACTTCCTCAGCCTCCGTTTCTTCATTTATAAAACAAGAAGAATTCACTAAATGAGATTTCTCCTAGCTCTAAGTCCTATAATTCTACTCTTTTGTTTCTAAAAAAAAAAAAAAGTATACTTGGTTTCTTCTCAGCTATGCTTCCCATAGGCCACCAATTTTTCTTGAAGGAAACTCAGTAACTTTAGCTGTTCAGCCGGCTCACCAGCCTTTTCGTCAGTGTTGCTCCTGGAGTAATATGCACAGTGACCAGGATCATTATGGAGAAGCTAAAAGGTTCCTTTCCAGTTCTGCTAAGTCCAGTCCCCAACATGAGTTGATAGGTACCCAGATTAACAGCCAAGGGATTTGAGGGAGTTTGGTGGCTTAATGAAGAGAGTGCTACACTTGGAGTCAGCAGGACCTCAGTTTGACTCCTGCCTCCAATACTTACTATCTATGTAGTTCTGGGCAAGTCAGTCTCAGTTTGCTCATCTGCAAAACGGAGGAAATAATAGTACCTACCTCACCAAGGTGTTGTGAGGATCAAATGGGACCATATAGAGAAAACATTTTGTAAACCTTAAATGTTAGGTTTAATATATATGATATATAAATTATGTATATTATATGTATGTTAGCTATTTATATTATTATTATTGTTATTGGAATTTGGGCCATCTCCAGTCATTTTATCCATATCTGGCCACTGGACCCAGATGGCTCCAGAGGAGAAAGTGAGGCTGGTGATTTTGCACAGCTCTCCCCCACTTAAATCCAATTCACTTGCAAGTCATGGCATCATCTCCCT